TTTAATATGTTTCCTAGGTAGATTAGAATTAGTCATAGTTAGGATCTATAAATAGGAGGCATCCCCCATTGTTTTTGGATGTCTTGGAATGGAATAGAAAATAACGTTTGTTCGAAACCGTGTGTTGAGAGTCGTGAGATTCGATCATAAAAATCGAATTGGTGAGGCTAAGACCCAAGCCAATTCAACGATTTAGAGAGGCTAAGACCCGATCTATTTCGCGAGTGAAACGAGGCTAATAACCAAGTGAACTCAAGTATCGTGAGAGAGTAAGGCTAATAACCGAGTCGATCACACCTATCGTCGAGAGCAAGGCCGTGGCGAAGCCGTGATCGAGACAAGACGAGGACACGAACACCCGATCCTTCATCATTGGTGCTTTCATTGAGAGTGATTGATTTGTTGTTCGTGAACTTTTCCTATCCCATTCTTTTTCTTTTTTGGTTCAATTTTTGGTGTCTTTTGTTCGAAATTTTTCGAAATTTTGTTAGTATCCAAAAAAAAAAAAGTGTCATCTAGTCTTTTGTTATTTTTTCCTTTCCTAGATTCGAATTTTGTTCGAATTCTTCTTCTTCTTTTTCGATTTTTATAGAGTCTTAAAAAAAAAAAAAGAGAGTCATGACGAATCGTGAGAGATTCGATGCCCTTGAGGAAAGCGTGAGGTCCCTTGTCAACGGACAACACGTGGTCAATGAAAATATGGCTAAGTTGGAGCTGATGATACACGACTTGGCGGGACAACTTGAGAGAGTCAACCGCCATTCGCGGAGGAGCCGCACATCAAGGTCAACCATGGCGGGAACGGACTGTTCGACGTCTAGTCGCGATGACGACGACGAACGGTCGCGGGGAACGCGCGCGACGCGCAGTACCCGACACCACGGGGGACGACGGACACACGGACACCGGCATCGACGTGAGGAGCGGGCGGAGGTAAGGCCGAAGATCACGATGCCAACATTCGAAGGAACAGATCTGGATGCATGGTTAAGTCGTGCCATGCAATTTTTCGAGATCAACGAGATTCATAAGTCCGAAAGAGTCCAGATTGCTGCCTACTACTTAGATGGTGAAGCGAACATATGGTGGCAATGGGTGTCACAT